TTCTTAGTTTTGGGGATTGGAAAAATTAAGCCAAAAGCCCATTGTTCGGGATACTCATTTGTGAAGAATATATTGTTAAATATTTGGGTGATTATATTATTAAGGATAGATTTCGATGATTTGATAAATTCTCCAGGAATACCATCCAAACCAGGGGACTTGTTAATTTTGATATTTTTGATTGCTTCATCAACTTCTTCATTAAGTATTGGAGTATTAAGAATACTAGTTGGATCGTTTGCATACATTTTTTCATATTTTTTGTTACTGTCAAAAATTATATTGTGTAGGAGGTTTGGCTAATTTGCTGAAGTTTTCAAACATTGCAGATGGAGATGCTCTTATTTTGACACATTCTCTGTTGGCTGTTTGGGTTGAGTTTAATAAATTCCAAAAGTGAGTTGGGTTATGATTTAGGCTATATAATAGATCATTGTACATTGTGTTGTGAAAATGGCGCTTGCACTTTTGCTTGTGACTTTTATATTCTTTATGTAGAGCACTTGTTTCTATTCCTGATTTTTCTGCTATGTGAATATTTGATTTCAGGCTCTTACATTTTTCGTCAAACCATTTATTTGCTGGAAATTTGGTGGTTTTATTTGTTAATTTTGTTTTGACAAAAACACCTTCTACTGCAAGTGAGAGTGTTAAACTGAGTTTATCCACTATGTGTTCTATTGGACAATCCTGGTCTTTTAAGTCAAGTGATATTTCATGGAATATAGAATTACATAATGGTTTTTTCAGGTTTGATAGAAAAACTGTCGATTTTGATTCATCCCATTTAAACTTAGTAATGTTAGTATATAGATCTGCTGTACAATTGATATTCGAGTTGCATGAAGTAGACAGTTTTGGAGTCAGTATAGAAAATGAGATAGGACAATGGTCTGATTCTGGTAATTTTGCCTGAATTTTAAAGTTTTGTATGTTCTTGAGAGCCTTTGATGATCCAATTACATAATCTACCACACTAGCACCATTAGGTCTGATGCAGGTATGTTTTCCAATATTTTTGTCTTCACCCACTCTCCCATTGGCTATTTGCATATTAGTGGTCTTACATAATTCTAGTAATTCTTTCCCATTTGTTCTGAGAATTTCTTGATTATTTTTATCCTTTGATGCCCTATCAGTAAATAATGAAGTGTTATTGAGCATGGGTAGCAAATAACTCAGTTCACTGTCAGACCCAAATACTTCTGTTTCATAATCTGCCTTTATCCCAGTTCTTGCATTAAAATCTCCACATATATATATGTTTGAGGTACTATATTGTGCTATGGCTATTTCAGTCTCTAGAATCTCAAAAAAGTCAAGTGTATTAAAAGAAGATTTCTTATGGGGAATATAAACAGTGGCTAGTAAGATGGGGTCATTATTTGGAATATTAACTTTTATCCATGAGAGAAAATCATATTTTTTGTCTAATACCTCAACATTGTTACAATAAAGGTTATCTTCTATCAAAATTCCAATTCCACCTGAGTGTTTCTTATTACCCTTTGATAATTTTGCATGATTGATGAAATGGTACCCTGGTATAAATATGTTATCTTTTGAATTGATCATGGTTTCTTGTAAGAATACAATTTTATGGTTTTTGATTAGATTTTCAAAAATATCTGGGTCAGTCAGTTTATCACTTAGTCTATTAATGTTCCAGCATAATATATCAATGTTCTCATATGGAATTGCAGTTTGTGACGTGTCATTTGAATATTCATTCTTTGAGTCTGTGAGGTTGCAAGGGTATTTTGATTTGTCTGTCATTGCTACCTTAGATTCAATATCTGTTGTATAGTGACCCACTCTGCTTATTGCATTACTTTCCTGTTGATCCAGATAGGGTCCAAGGAGTCCATTCGATTTGTATTACTTCTATCGGAGCATTGCTTTGGTATGTTGATTTCATTGACATTTAGGGTTACGTTGCTAGGGTACAGAGTTTTGAGTACATTTCTTGCTACATGCTGTCGTCCCTTTATATTAAAGTGTAGACCTTGCCTTCCTAATATGCTCTTGTTGTAATCAGTTGTATTTATTCTAATAAAGTGTACATCTTGCTTCTTGCATTCTGATTGGGTTGCTGAATTTATGGCGTCAATCTTTGTGTTTAGCTTGTGTGAGAGTGGTTTGTCTCTCCTATATGGTATTTCTATGACAGCTGTTTTGGTCTTGTTTGCTGTACCAGTTGATTTGAGGGTAGTGATTAGAGATTTCATTTTGGATATGGTAGTAGTTGTATTCTCGACGATGATATTGTTGGTCCCGCATTGGACGACAACAGTGTCAGGTTTCATTTGGCTCACAGTTTGAGGAATAGTTGAGTTGATAAATTCTATGGTTGCTCCTCCATGAACATTCCCAGTGGCAACGATTTTTTGATTTGATTGGCTGTTAATTGCTGCTGATATACCATAGCCGTTACTGGCTGCAATGTATAGCATCTTTGGTGTTCGTCTTGGTGTTGGTTGTACAGATTGTTTATCTTTATTCTCTTCAACACTGAATACTTAGAAATTATCACCCAAAACTGTTGATTCCTGAGTCCTGATCTTGAACATTGAGCACTATTGCAGCTCAACATGAACCAGTCAGTCAATGTATATGCCAGGAAGTACAAAGTATCTAACAACCCAGGGGCCATATAAAAACTTGAACATAAAAAGTAGACCCCACCCACCTATCCCAAACATGATAACCTATGGATGATCAAAGAAGCTTATCCTGGCCTTGAATGAAGTATCAAAACTTCAACTTGTTTTAATTGTGCATAATTTAACAAGATCACAAGATGCAGAATCACACATAATATTACAAGTACAAGGAAAACTGCTGAGTTTTGAGATGCTGTACAACTTACAGAACAAAAATAGGATCACTAATTAGAGGAATAAGTTTCAAGGCAAAGCTGGAAATAAGCGAAGATGAAGTTATAAAGATTTCAGTTCATTGCCATGGTACTAACTATCTTCATGCTGTTCTCACTAGTCTTATAAAGTAGAAGAGATATGCTTATTTTGAATGTTTAATTTTCACATTATATATTGCACTTATCTAACTTAAATATTTCCTCGGTTCCATATGTTATGCCCTATAAACCATGAATACAACCCAACAGATACTGAATTTAAAGATCATAAGTGATTTTGCATTCCAGGGAACAAACGGTTGTGGAAAATAGCGTGATGGTCATTATAATATACTGTTTTAATATTGAAGTCTCTGACAATGAAGTAATTTATCAGATGTATCACTTGAATGACATTTATAAACAAGAATAGAAATTCGTGATGAGATTTATTACACTGTTTCCAGCTGATGCAATATAAGTGCAGCTGCTCCATAAAGTTGGTATCGCAACATACAAATTCAAAATAATATTCAGAACACCTACACACTCATTCTCTTATCTTGCTCAAATCCTACATCATCCATAAATGTTGATCTGGAGTTTATGTGCAAACATGACAAAAATGTGATACCCACGCAAAAGTGACTCCAGAGTTCATCACTTATGTTTGAAACACTAAAATAACATACCTGATATAATCATAATGACCCAAAGCTCATAATTATTATCATGTTGTCAGGGAAAATACAGAACTGAAGTGATGGCTGGGACCAGGGTAGAAGAAGATTTTGAATCCTCTTTGAATTGGTTGATGTAAATGATAAAATTCCATAAGTGATCCTTGGGTTCAGACAAGAACATTGCATTTGCTGATTTCAGAGACTTATTTGAAATTCATTAATTGTTCATTAATTTGAAACATTTTATCAAGAAACCTATCACAAGCACTAAAACTTTCAACAGAAAACATATCAAATTTTGACAAGTATCCATATGTCCAGTTCTCCATGTGCTCTTACCATGATGTTTATAATTAGCATTAATTATCATAATACCTGGCCCTCTTTCAATCTCCTCCTCTTCTTCACCCCTATCAACTGCACCATTCCTTTGATTCCTTCTGCCCATAGTTATGGAGATATCAGCTAATTTATCCAATTATTTAATGATTTATCCAAAATGACTTTCCTTCAATATGGAGTGACAGAATCTAGTTTGCCACGTTAATTGATTGGTAAAGGTCCTTGGGCAGTAGCACACTTATCATATGTTGTATCAGGACTTATCATACATACATGTAGTATTTACTGTTTTCTACCAGTTGGTCAAAACTGTTCATGGATTACATAGGATTTTTAATTGCATTTTAAATATGTATGTAGGTGTTGACAGTTTGGGAACATATTGAGATGGTTGCATATGGTTATAAAAGATGATCATAACTTATCAGAAGATACTAAAGATGTGTATCTAGAGCTTAGATAAGACTCAATGTCATATCATCACATCAAAAAGGTAGGCATGTCATTTTTTGATTTTAGTACACGTTTATACATATGCATGAATATAAATCATAAATCAATTGTTTTTCTATAATATCTGAACATCTGTTCTAACCCATTGAAAAATCAATCTGATAATTTACAATTTTCTGACATGGCTCAACAGATATTGATGGAAGGATTTATTAAATGGGGTCAATGCATATGCATTTTGCTTTATAAGAATCATGAGCCTATGGGATATAATATTGTTGTCATATTTATTAACTTGCATAATATTAATATTTAAAGCAGTGTTTGAGGTTGGATCATCTGGGTCTTCAATTTTAAAGAGAAGCACCAACCCTATTATGAGTAAATGTACATAACATATATACAGTATATGCAAAAACATACTTATGGCAAACAAACACTGATTTAAAATAATAGTTAATGACAATAATAAACAATGGATGATTTTTCCACTGAATAACCATTCAAAAATGTCATCCTTTGTTTATCAAAGTATAAGAATAATACACATAAAAAGAAGAAATATTTCTGTTATATTGGTACAACACGACATACACAGGAAAACTAGCAAAAACTGAGATAATAAAAGTATTGTTATGGTAATATGTGTTACCATGGTAACTTACCTCTTGGGTCAAGAGTTTGAAGTCTTGCTGCTAGACCTGAAAATACATCAGACACATAAAGTTATTTTTGTATATTTTACATTTTACAGTAAGACAGCATCTTGCAACAATGAAAAAGATATACACGTATGATCAGTAAGTAGCTTAGTGAGCTCTCCATGCCAAAAGGACCAAAAGCATTCTGATTTATCAGTCTCTCTTTATCTAAACCTTTTTCAATTCCAATGGATATAACTGACTGTGGATCTCACAATGGAACAAAGGTATAAGTGATTCCTATCCTAACCTACCCTATTTTAAGGTGATTTGCAATAGCCCTTCATCTCTTGCTAGAGACTACTCTCTTCAACTTCAAGGGAGAGTAAAGGATATTTCATGATCAACCAGAACAACGGCAACGCCAAAGCGTAGCGAATCCCATCGAACAGAAATGGCTGGCATTTTAACAAACGAAATATACAGCAAATATCATAAAATAACACACATAAGAAAGGCCACCATTTTCAAAATGGTTGCTCACTAGCCAAGTTGTCATCAGAAGTAGTAATATGCTTTTTCTTTATAGTATTCACATACCAAATATGAACAAAATCGCTCCACTACTTTTCGAGTTATAGTAAAATACTTTAAATTGGTTGAAATTTTTCAAAATGGCTGCCTCCTACCAAAAGTGTCATTAGACAGTGTGCCATGCTTATAGTATTCACATACCAAATATGAACAAAATCACTCCACTACTTTTCGAGTTATAGTAAAATACGTTAAAATGGCGGCCATTTTTCAAAATGGCCACCTTCTACCAAAAGTGTCATTGGACAGTGTACCATGCTTATGTCATTCACATACCAAATATGAACAAAATCGCTCCACTACTTTTCGGGTTATAGTAAAATACGTTAAAATGGCGGCCATTTTTCAAAATGGCCACCTTCTACCAAAAGTGTCATTAGACAGTGTGCCATGCTTATAGTATTCACAAACCAAATATGAACAAAATCGCTCCACTACTTTATGAGTTACAGCAAAAATCGTAAAATAACGAGTAAAGGCCGCCATTTTTCAAGATGGCTGCCATGTGCTTCTTTAATATCTCTATTTCTAGCTTTATCAATGTCCTATATAATTTTTTACATTTAAAACATATTGCTATTACAGTTTTACATATTGCACCTAAATTACTGTAAAATCGGCACTAAAATGGCCGCCATTTTTAAATGAGCGGCCATTTTGAAAATCGGCTTTCGAGCAGAACTTCTACCCCCATAGGGTATATGTGTACAAAATATGAACAAAATCGGGCCAACGGTATTTGAGTTATTGCCCGGACGGACGGACGGACGGACGGACGGACGGACGGACGGACGGACGGACGGACGGACGGACGGAGGCGTTCCCTATATCCCTCCGAACTTTGTTCGATGGGATAATCAATAAAATGGGAACCCAGAAACCAAAAGATCAATACATTTACCAGGTCTCAGATTAGAATAAAAACAATCCAATCTTGCCCCCTGACAAAAGATTAACTATCTTCACTGGTCTAACCAATAAATATAGCCACACATTCCATCAACCACACATTCTATTAATAACCACATATTATTGGTCATTCCATAATAAACATATGCAGTACATGTATATATATTGCAATTAACAGACCTCTAAGACAATCGTAAACTTCATAAATAGGGATTATAATTCACCTGAGCGATCCCATTTTGAATGCTCATAGATATGTTTCTGTTAACATATGCTTCTGCATCAACCTTAAAAATCAATATTCCACAAAATAACATTGCCATATTAGAGAGAAACTGATAACAGGCTGTGACCACTCACTATAACATAATGCTGCCCTGGTAATCTCACATAGTAACAATTTTGTGATATTCAGAATAATTCTAGGTTTGTTTTCTATTTAATATCTAGGACCCTTGATAAAGAGTGCTTGGGAATAACAATCATGTTATAAATTCTCACTTATATCTAGGCCCTCTGCTTGCGAAATAGTAGTAAATACAGAGATCATTTGAATGGTTCTATCATCTGAAAAACCTATCTACTGAGTTGAGACTGTAGTTTTGCATCAAGTCAATGGACCCTGACTACTGGTCTTGTAGATATGAGGTACATTTGTATATAGGGGGTAGCCAGGGGGTGCAACGGGAACCCATGTACCTCCCTTTACAATTGCTGGCTACGCCCCTGGGAGGTCACCGCAGGAGCTTAAAGCATGCTTTTCACTCGCTAAATATGTAATTCAGTTTGGTTTCATAGAGAGGAATGCGTAAGACTTGTTCTTACTTTTTCTAGTGAACACCTTACTTGACTAACATGTCTCCAGTTAACTACTTCAGAGTAAACATATCGCTAGTTGATTCAATTAGAAGTTAGTCTTTTGCTACAATTCACAAATCATTTTTGTATGTGAAATGTGAATGTTGACATACAATGCCTTTCTTCTGAATGAATTTGTGAAGTTAAAAAACTAGAAAAGCCAGAAAACAAAATCCCAATGGTGACACAGACATATGTGAAAGCAAGTCATTATGTAAATAAAGTAAACAAGGCATTAACATGCAAAATGTCACCAAATGCCATTTGATGCAGACACCAAATTTTGAAAGCTGACTGACAGATGCCTAACACTGAACACTGTCCACAAAAAAAAGATGAAGACTATAACAATTACAAATAAAATATACATATTTTGAACATATTTCTTGCAGATCCTTAGCTGACAGTTGAAAAATGTTTGGTAAACAAATTTCTTATAACATAATCTTGAGTTACACCTTTGTTCAGGTACTGACCAAAAGTAAATAGATAAGAAGGTGTTTACATTTAAAGTTTTTAAACATTACAATGGATTGGAGATTATTGAACTAGGAATGAACATTTTTACCTGATCACTCAGATTGTGTTATCGTTTAAGAAACTTAACTTTATATTTTGTACATTCAAAGAACAAGAAAAATATTTCTCAGATTCAATTTATATTTCCCTATTGAAAATATACAAACCAAATCCTCTCTATACAAACAAAATACATTCTGTACAGTAAACTATTGGATCAGCGGCTATGCATTTATAAAGACTTCATGTACTCACTGCCATGCACACCTGAACTTGCAATTAATTTTGAATATTAGATGTTTTACTTGAATTATCATTTGGAGGAAAACTTTCATTTTCAAATGCATTTTAGTAGAAAATGTGAACAGCTGTACATGCTGCATATCACTTTTATTGCAAAGTTGTTTACACAATACAGAGTACCAATAAATAAGGGCAGTCTAACCATATAGGTCAGATCTCATGATTTAAAAATTAAAACAGCACAAAAGTTGCAAAACATATCATAATCAACTTGAAAAAAAGGAGAACGATTAGTAGAAAGCTGTCAAAACAACGCACACATAATGTTAATGACCTTGACCCAATCAAGAATATATTTACATGTTAAGAAGATACAAGCACATGTACTAGTCTATCTGTCAAGTCAAGTCTGCCTTGGCTGACAGCTACTAAAATATAAATAAACATTGCTCCTGTATGCTGGATGTTTTTTCATTTCATTAACCTAATTGTTGAAGAATAACACCCCTGGTTATTCTAAATCTTATCATCAGATGCAATTTTATTCAACATTTGTACGTACAAAGATGAAAGGATATGATATGTTGACTGATTAATTTAAATGTTGTTCATATTGATAATCTTACAGAAATCAAATTATTTTTTAGGATATTGGTAGCATGTATCTCATTTAGATCACCTCTACTCTAAATAAAATAAGATTATCAACAAAATGGACAGGTTTCTATTTGGCATAGTAGTACAGGTAAATAAAGGTCACTTGAAATAAACCGAAAATAGAATGCTGCACATTGTATAGGTAAACAATATTATAGCCATGCATTTCCTGCGTGACTGAAAGCCAAATGATCATTCATGATTCAGACAAATCTATGATGAAATTTCTTATTTATATTGCACTAAGATAATCCTTTAATCTCGTTTCAGACTTATTTATGCTGTACTTTATTATACACATTGTAGTTTGGTAATTGATTGAAATGAATAATATCCAGATATTTCAACATGTGGACACTTCAATTCATCAGAGGTGAAAAGTTGAAACTGGACTATATAAATGTATTAAACTGTATACAATTATTGACCTCTCCAGAGGTTTACTGTCAAAATTATATCCCGAGACTGTAAACCGAGACCGTAGGTCGAGGTTTACAGTCGAGGGATATAATTTTGACAGTAAACCGAATGGAGAGGTCTATAATTGTTTTGTTAGTCTGAAGAATATCTTAAAAATGACCCTTGAAGTTGACTTGAAGTTGGATCCAGACCCTCGAGACGTTCATGTTGTATTTCAGTATATCGGCAGTAAGTTCACTCAATGGAGTCAAATTACTCTCCTGGGCGAAGTCCACTAAAAGCTTTGTACAAAGTTTTAGATTTTTCTTCGTATTTTAACTGTCTTTACCCTCTAAGAGACTAATAATATCCTCATCTTCAACATTTTTGAAACGGCTAGTGCTAGCGGCGGCCATTTTATCGTCTGATAATGACGTCATTTTAGTGGAATGCTGGGAATATTATTCACCGGCAATGCATTGCGCGGTGTACAGTTAAAATTATTCACCGCTCGTTGACCAATCAAAATCGAGTATTTCAACTGAGGTACTAACAATAAACATTGTAGACCACTTGTCTGGCCTTTGTTAATTGCCACCTGCAGATTGATTGATTAACAGTGTATTTTAAATGCTTAAAAACTGTATAGTATGTGTAAGATCTTGAGGTATATAGAATCAGAATGCCTGGAGTCCCACTACATATGAAATATGTTCAGGAAATAAAATTGGTATTGATTTAAATGTACATTTAAGTCTTTGAGAGATTGAACAGCTGGAAAATGCCAATGTTGAGTTGACTTGGCCTAGATATGACATGGCATTTGTCATTGCACACTAATCATATGGAGAAATGATGGTGAAAGTTGGATATATTACCTGGGTCAAGTCATCCTAATAAACCACGAACACCAAGGCAAATCTGAGATTTATGTCAATTAAACCATGATTTATATAAAAAAGATCTGTCATGAAAATAATCAAACATGTTTTTCTTTTTTCTATGTTCCAAATTCCAAAGTTTATCTTTCATTACAAATCCATGCTGAGAGTACAATGTGCAAGTGATGATACAATGATAACATGGATAAGATAATTCATTTGAGACAGAAAACTCTTTAATTGTTTACTCTGATGTAGAAACACATTCTTACTTGATGACATTAAATTCTTAACAAATGTGGTCATTTTCAGTCTGTGATTTTTAAATCTTTGTTTGAGCTTGCACCAAATATGTGTGAAATCAATGTGATCCCAATCCTTAAAGAAGATAAAAACAGCACCGATACATTCATTAACAGGCTGATTTATATAAAAACATGGCATATTATGAAAAAATAGTATTTTTATCTATTTAGAAGCTTCAGAAGACTTAAGGATACAATGTATAGGTGCTTTCTGTAGCAAATCCGCAATGATATAGAGATCCACCATAAATTATGCTCTCATCCTGCCATATTATGCCTCTGCCTTATCCTAGGCATGGCCTCATTAATAATTCAATCAGAGCGAATAATTGAATAGCGTCCTCTAAAACATAAGACCTATACACAATATATATCAATGATTAATCACATTATCATGGCAGAATCTGACTTAATACAGATGCATCATTAATCAATAATTTCATAACGTCCCTGAGGTTGACATCAAGTATTATTCCCGCCAAAATCAATTTACTGTATGAGTTGCTGCATTGGATAATAACATAATAATGATGCCAGTCGTACCTCTAGTGTCACTAGCTGAGGAATCCACCTCTTGATTTACAATATCAGCTTCTTCACTCCCCAAAGTATTATCCATCTTTTGTTATTTAAAACTAATCAATGAATAGTAACGTCATTACTTGTTTCTCTAAACGTATATTTCTAGGCCTTAGCGGTAATGTTTCTTGAACCTTGTATTGACAAAACATACAAACAGCACAATAGCTCCCTGCACTATAAAAACCTGATAGGAGGCATAACATGATAAACATTAGTCGGGTCGACAATATGGACTAACTTAGTATTGATTAACTCTGTCTAAGCCTTGCTCAATAGGTCTACTTTGCAATTCAGTGTTCATTGAATCTAAATGATCTTGTTCGGGACTATTTGGAATATTAGTTGTTTAGCCTGGAAGCAATAGATAATTTTATATATGGCACTATAAGATATACATGACATATCACTCATTGAGTGTTACGTACCTCCACTTCCATCACTTTTTTCCGGGGTGGCTTCCTTTGTTGAATCAGGAGTGGGGGAAACTTGTACTGGTTCATCATCAAAAGTCACAAGAGGTTTTGATGGCTCAGGTTCAGGAACTGGTGCACTAGGTGGAGGTCCAGTGTATAAATCCTCTTCGGCTTCTTCACGTGTGCTTGAAGTGACGGCTGGATCTCCAACGAGCGGGTCCAGTTTTTCAAAGTCAAAATCATTACTCTCTGGCTGACTCGACTGAGTGCTTTCTGGGTTGAATTCTTCCATAGTGGTGCTTTGAATATAGGCCTACTCTGCTAACGTGTTTGATGGTCACTAATTGCGTTGTTCATACAGTTTCAGATATTTTCTTCCTTCGAATTTTTTTCGGTGCAAAATTCCAATTCAAAATGGTGGTCAAGATGACGTCATTTTCCGCCAATCCATGTCCTGCCATCTATACAAAATTAATGGAGTTAAAACCACCAAATTGTACAATTACAGAATAATTTAAGATATTCATTACTACCAAGATTCAATAGATGTCATGTTTGTATCATAAAACTAAAGTGCATCGTATTTTCTTCTTCTTCTTCTTCCTTTAGGCCTTTGTTTCTAAGGCCATTGGCACTGTTATGCTGCCTTTGAACACTTGCTACAGTATATCACTTGTGTATTTATTCACGGACTTTATTTGATTTATTGTACAAGTCAAAGACATACGTGTACTCGTACCAGCAGTGAATCTGTCCTAAGATCCATGGAGGTATATCAATCAATCAGATTAGGTATAATGTCCGTGTTAGATCCTAGAATAGATATTTTATCCTAGAATAGACATTCTTTAGGATAAAGGGAATTTTTGATTTGGAGAATTGGTCATAGATACCCGGCAAGATTTCAGAAGCTCAATAAATGTCATAAATATTCTTAAGTATATTTATTGAGCCTTTGACACTGGCCACCATCTACTATTAGCGTAGATGTAGAATTTTGGGTGAATCTCCAAGATTTATCCCTGGATTTATCCAAATTACATTGAAATTCTGATAAATATCTGAAAATCAAACCATGTAGTTTACCCTGTGCGCAGAGTCTAGTGATAAACTACCTACTAAGATGAAGCTATCTTTTAAGAAGTGAAGTCAAACGAATTCAAAGGGTAAAGTGGATTGAGATTAGGATAAGAGGCCATAGGATTTACCCTTGAATTTGTTTTAATTCACAAATGTTAAGATAATCTCCAGGATCAACAATGCATTATTACTAGGGAGATAAATCTGGACTAGTATCTGGATCAGATTTTGGATTGTACAAATTCCCGGCAGATGACATTGGGTGGGCCTGGAAAAAAAATTGGGCCTGAAAAAGATGTGGGCGAAAAAAGCCCTTCAAGCCCCAAAAAGTGGGCCTTTTGGTCATTACTGGGCCTTTTAAGTCCTTATTTTTTAATTTAGGCCAAATTTTGAAGAAAATGGGCCTCAAATTTGGGCCCACTTTTGGGTTTTGGGGGCCCACATTTTTTTCTGCCCAATCACGTAAGTTTTTTTCTCTGACCTGAAATTTGCCCCCCCCCCCCGTAAAGGTATATGATTATACTTATTAAACCATCGATCCAGGCCAGATTCTTTTGTAGGCCTAGTAGGATCAGTAGCTCAATAAATATTCCTGAATTATTCTTGAGCCTATGAGATCCTACTCCAAAACGATCTGGTCAACATTTATGAATTAAACTAGAAAAATTCATTCCAGAATATTCCTATTGTTGATTTGGTATCCATGCTGCCATGAAAATAAAGTTTCATAACATTTCATTATTTGAATATCGCGCCAAATTCATAACTTATTTCATTGGTTCATATAATTATAAGGCGATTATTTGATCCAATCAAATCTACCGTTACATATCTGTAAGGAATTTCCAAGATGGAGGTTGGAGATGGGGTGAGGTCCAGAAATGGACTGAAAAGTGCTCCTAAACTGCATATTAATGGAGTAGTAAAAGTTGCAAATGGTACATCTAATGGGAAAACACCGGTTAAAGTAAGTTTCAATTTATTGTGAAAATTTGTTCATGATCAAGTCTTAAATTTCGAAACTAAAATTTTAACAATTATTTTATGAAATTTCTCTGTTTTGGCGACCTACTTCCGCGTAAATGAATGGTTATGAATCAACATTTTGTATATTCATAACGATGGTTAGGTTGACTTACTATGAAACATGCAATTTATTTATTTATTCAGCTGATTTTGTGTCCCGTCCTCGACATTCTTTCGATCCCATGACAGAGTTGCAAAAAGAGCTTGATTGAGTTTTCAATTCAAATGTCTTTAGCCTACACGAAGTGTCACTTGTTGGTGACAAAGTGACAAACTACTCTTGTGCTATTACATATCTGGCTGTAAAATGGTTATCTTCTGGTAGCCTGGGTCAATCAGTTTCTCAGCAGAAGCATTTTATTTTGGTTGTTTTATTGGCTCGTGCTGACGCAAGAGCCATATCTCACTTGGGTTTAGTTTATCCCGTTCCCGGACTATGGTCCTGTGAACATCTCAATCTTTTGCCTGTGCGATTACAACATGAGAGAATTTTTTACTCATCTTACACTTCTGATACCTACTTCAATAGATTCCTTGGTAATTTAGCATTCTTTTCGTGTAGTTGAATCCACAATTGTCTGGGTTTATCGGCAGAACGAAGACATTTTCGTTTTTGATCGCAATATTTGCGTGTAACATTTAACTTATTTCAACCGTCAAATTCCTCCATATTGGTACTTCCGGGTTACATCCGGGACAGCCAAACGGGGGATTCCCCTTTTAAATCCAACCGCCATTTTGAAAAGTGATGGAATCTCTCTCGATGAAAAAGAGAAATGTTCCCGTTCTGCCGATATACCCAGACAATCGGCGGTTCCAATATATTAGAAGTTACATCTTGAGTTCTATAATGCATTGAGGTAGGTATCTTAAGTGTAAGGGGCGTAGATAATTCTCCCAAGTTGTAATCGTACAGGCAAATGAATGCGCTCAGTGCAGGACTATAGTCCGGGAACAGGATAAGGTTTAGTAGTAAGTGATAACGACAATGGACTGAGGTTTAAACGTTAGTTTACTTGTAGAAAACCTGATGGGTTAATATTTATTGAAGAAAATGAGTTAATTTCTCGAGCAAAAGTTTAACCCTAAGGTGTTAGTTTATAATAAAATTGCGTTAGAGAGGGTTTCAAACGACAAACGCGCAATTTTACAACAACGCCATGAACACTGTGCTCTGATTTTCAGCAACGTGATTTCCTAAATACAACAGAAATACAAGCGACTTCTTGATTTAGAATTGTGAACAATTTACAGCATTAAAAAAACTCTGAACATTTAACTATTTTATTAATATCTTCGAAGAACGAGAATCAAATTGACCCATCTTCACTTTTTGATATGTTTGGATGTTTTCTAAGAGGTCCAGGTATTCAGACCTTCACAATTTAAAGATCTTAATCAGTTCAAAATGTTCTGATTTTTTCTACTTTTTTCTACTTTTGCCGTTCGGTAGATTACAACCACGTTAAAAGTAAGCATCCCTATTTATCAATACAATTCATTACAACACTGCAAACATCTCCTCCACACGAGCTTTCATTTTTAAAATGATCTCTTGTTTTGATTTATAATTTGATTTTATTGCCATGGCTGTCCCAAAGCTTCGTGTATAAATTCTGAGATTTTGTGATGGTAAATCAAAACTCAGATAATCCACTCTATGGCCTGGCAATGCGATTTAGGCCTAAGACCATATGGAGAGTACAGCCCACCATCATTCAGAGATATGATATGACATACCATCTGGGTCCCATATCTTCTATTCTTGGTCCCTCATATCCAACTATTCAGGTGTTTTTTCTCCAGTCTTCGCAATGTTGTTTTATGACACACCCCTCTAAAGACTGGCCTGTAGTTCAAAAGGGCTGTGATCATGTTGAGCTATACATGATTACAGTGAATGCGAGTCCATTCTTCAAAATGGAATGTTTGTTAGCACAGTGTTGACGTCACCTCCCCCTCTGCTTCTAGTTTGAATGAAAATAATTTATCTTAAAATGGCAATCTACTGTCAAATGGATCTCTACCATGGCAACATATTTGCATCTGTATCACATGTTGATGATGCAAGGCACATCTTAGTGTAGGAAGTCACATATAACAAATGTGAAGTTTGCTGTTTATTCTTGAAATCTAGAGCAATAAGGATTACCTCACTTGACTTTGAAATAATATTCTTGACAATCATTATTTTGTTGCATTTATATTTCTATAAATTCTTGGGAATAAAATCAACTTTATTTCTGCTATCTCTCTTGGCTTCATCTATTCTTGTAACAAACAAAGAAACATCCCCTCCATCTTTTTCACAGCCAATGAGTCATATATTGCATCTAGGGACTTGTTGCACGACTGCTTACTACATTTTTCTCCTAACCTGTATGGAATTCAAAAATCAGTGAGCTCATTCTATATTGCAGCGATTTATTGTAATGTAAGCTTTAAGTTATAACATGGCTTATAGTGTATGATTATTGTAATAGATTATTCATGTATGCATTATGTAGAATACGTTTAAAATGTAATCACTTTATAATTCCAGACGACTTGGGGTGATTTTACTGAAACATTTGAAGATACACCATTATGGACAGCTGTTGTCACATATATTGGATATGGAGTACTAATTGTTTTTGGACATTTAAGGGATTTTATGCGCCGATATGGTCTAGAGAAAATTCACTCTGTAAAAGAACCTATTATTGAGGTAAGTCAGATCGCTACTTTTTAACTATACAAGTATTTGCATACATGTACACACAATTTTACATGTATCCTGTGACTTGTATTCATAATGCTTGAGATAGATCATATATTATAAACTGAGATGATTTATTGTTTTGAAATTACTACTTTTTCAAAAGTCATGATCATCTGTCCCATATTTTTAAAAAGTACAGATGTTGATGTGACACATTTCTTTGTAACACCAACTTGAACACCAAAACATATTTTATGTTCTATATCTGATTTCACCCATCCTCAATTAAAATCTGAAAATAGCATTTGCTTCGATTAGTTTCCTTCGTTTGCTTGGTATGTTTACATTTATCACAAACTTTCTCTTGAAAGCTCATTCATTTATTAGGATCAAAGACCCTAAAAAAACTTTAAAAGTATTTTAATGACAACATTACTATTTGTAAATGTAAAAGTACAGAAAAAGGGGAAGATATACTGTCATTATAACTGAAACTTTGCCAAAGGCTGTTATGTTTATTGAAGCCGGGAGCTATAAGCATCCCCATAAAGCATGTTTTATCACTTGGAACAAACATATATGAACATAGCAAGGTCAATAGAATCTACCTTGAACCAGGATTTGTCTTGTGCACAGACACAACAAAACAAAATCATTTAAATGACTTGAGATTTTAAGTATAACTATGCCATCACTATAATTAGTTGTTAATTGGTTCCAACTTTTTGTGGACAGTTTTTGGCAGTTGGTGATCGGCAGTTGGTGTGAGGGCATCTATAACAAGATGGTGACATTTTGCGTGGATATGCCATGTTTCTTAGTATGATTACAATTACTCCCTAGTCTTTCCATGAAACATTTGGGTTGTGGAGGAAACAACATTTCAGTGTAACAGTCATGGAAAATGGCCAAAACTGTACCACACTATAAAACCTACTGAGAGGCCTGTGTCTTGTTAAAAAAGTAATCATGAACAGGCTCATATTGAGCCTTTTTGGGAGGCTGTCTGTTTGACTGAAATAATACCATTGAATCCATCTATCTCCCAAAATGCAAAGTACCTACCTTTTTTGGTCAAAATATTTCCGATGTTTGACAGGGTGATAACAAACTTTCAAATAGGTAGGATGCAATTTTCAAACCTTAACAGTGTGCACTATGTGTACTAATGTGTACTAGCACATGGTTGTTCTAATGCTGGTGTGATTACTGGAATCAGTTAATCTCTAGCAGTAAGAAAGGCCACTCTGGCACTATGCAATAAGATAAATGTTCCTCCTCAAAGCTTTATTATCGTTTTTATTTTACCTGGTATAACTTTTTATTGGTACTTTTCAATGCACTAGGCAACATTTTTTCTGGAGTAATATTGCTTCTATGTACTTTGTCATGATAAGACTTGAAACCCTTGACTATTATCTGACCAACTGATAGCCTTACTAACTGTTTGTTCTGTGATGGCGATTTATTAGTTACAATTACAAATTCATAAACATGTTCATGCAATATGTGATGTTTAAAATCATGGTGTAGGTATTATTATTTAAAAATTGAGGATATTCCTCATGTTGATGCAAAAAATGTATTTTAATAGTAGATAGGTAGATAAGCACTTGAAGTATGTAAGTTTTAAGTTGTTATCTATTTGTATTGGTTCTAACTGGTCTCAAGTTGAAGTAGTTGGTGTATGGATGATCCTTACTCTAACATAGGAGTAGCTCTTCTACTGATAGCCCAATTCAGAGATAGGAAGAATATGCAGACTTATAAAATGCAGCATTACATACATGTGTGTATGGTGTTTGTGCACACAGCGAGTGTACCCTTAATTAGAAATTCAAAAAGTACATGCTACCATGTTATTACTTTGTGAAAATGCATTTAAACCATGTCATCAACAGACCTTTTCAGTTGCAAACCAGAAAGATGTGATGAGTATCAGAATACAATCATCTCAACAATAATCTGACAAAATAAAAGATCATCCTGTTTAGCAAATTTTGCCTCATTGTTTGCCACAATGAAAAAATAAATTGAATAGTACATGTATGACGTGAAAAGTGCCATCCCCGAGAATTTTTTTCAACTGGATGCTATATCATGATTTTCCAAGATTTTTCTAAAAATACCTCAATAGTTCATTCTTTTGGAGAGCATTGAGTTGGTATGTAAGAAATGTCTTAGATGATAATGTAGAACATATCATATCTCGGGTTTGTTTAGGTGTTGGCCTGGATACTATTACTCTCTCCAGATATCACTCTGTTGATTATCAGAGACATTGAAAAATTAACCTTATTATGGTGACTAGAGTTATGAATAGATAATGTTAAGACCCTCTCTAGTAAGTTAACAACCTGCACATGTTATTCCATGTCTTACATATAATATTATAAAGGATACCAAGTACCAACATAAGATACCAAAGCCATGGGGAGTAAGTCATCCCCTCCCTCTTATATTCTCTTTAGAAAAATTTTAGTATAGAGAATATAAGAGGGAGGGATGACTTACTCCCAGTGGCCAAACCAGGCTTTTTTATCAAAGCAGGTTATCCAAGCAGGCTATAATCAGATTTTTGAAACTTGTAATGTTAACGTTAGTTTAGTTAAATCAAAGCCTACATCATCCCACTGTTATTGCAGGGAGATTTATGGAATTGCATTGTCACAAGGGTCCAACTTCTCGGGACGTATCGAAGCCAATACGCCTCACAAAACTGTAAAATATGAATTTTAGACCGGGTGTTTGAAAATCAAGTATTGTGAGTGTATGGCTATATTGTACAGAGTCCCTCGTTTTAGCGGCATTTGGGTCTCCAGCTGTGAGATCAAGCAAATTTTCATAGATTTCGACTAGAAGTCTAAGTTATCTCATCAATTCCTTACTTATTTTCACCCACACTTTTATTCGATGAAAACTAAAAACTACCGAAATTGACACTTCCCGCCATCTTAAATGTGAAGGTGATGGCCATAACCTTCCCTTGATACTGACGGGACCAGTGAACTAGAAAAATATATCTAGTGGTGACAAAATGTATATATGCGTGATATAATATGTTGCAGTGAAGCTTTCTATCGAAAGTATTGAGTGATCACAATGTTCTAGCATTTTTCAGGAACATCATCACATTGATCCGCTCTGGAATATAGGCCGATAATTTGTAATTTATTAATCTTGGAATAGCATGACCTTTTTCTGTTCATTGTTAAAAAGATACTATTGGGGTTTTTTGACCATACAACTGAAGTTCACATTATAGACGTATTGAAATTCAGTGGCCGATACATATTCCAGTATAGACGAGATAATTGATTGATTATTAATCTAGTTATAATATTAAAAAAAATGCGATTGGTGGTTAGAATCGAACATGGCAAACCTGTGGACGGACGCAAAATGTTTAAGAATGAATTTTCACATTTGTACATGTAGTCATATGACTCGATGGAGCGTATCCCACCCTTGGCATTCGTTCGACTTCGCTTCTTAAAAGAGAGCTTCGTTGGTAGTTTATAACTAAACTCTGCACGCAGGGTAATTGGAAGACGACAGGACATATTGATCAATTTTGAACAAATGTGCGGATGATTTCGAAACTGCTGCCAAAAAATGTACACGCAGCGATTGAGGGTTGTAATGCATCAATTGGGAAAGTATGGACAAAAATAAGGAAAGAACTGGTAAGATAACTAGACTTGTAGTTGAAATCTATGAACATTTGATTTTGGGCATATTGTCATTCCAGCTCACAGCTTGCAGGATAAATATTACATCCTATTGGCAATCTGAATCTGCATTATTTGTATTAGATTAGACAGTAATAGAATATAAATCAAGTCTTATAGGAGCAATATCTAGGACTCCCGTGTAAAAGGCTTTTTTTACGTGAACACATGTTGAATATTTCCAATTCGCAGTGTGAGATATGTTTATGAGTTGTATTAATTATTTGAATACTCACAACATCAGGTAAATGTTGATACACTCTAAAGACCTCAGGTGAACTGTTCTACTTTAAACCCATAAAAGTCAATTTTGTTTTAAATTATTTGATACACATCTGATTGAGTGGCAAACATTGGCATATTCCATCAACATCATTTTGTTAATTACAATTCATCAAGCAATAATCTCTGTGTACCTTAAACATGTTGAAACCTTCATATTGAACCTAGCCTTGTAAATATGAACTTGACAGAGATGATATGAACTTGTAATTTTATTCAACTATTGGACTTGTAGACCCTTAACCAAGTGGAGTAAAATCTGCTTATAGTGAACAGTGCTCATTTTAATCCAACGGGATATTTCATATGACTGAAGGTTGGGGTTTAACAGTATGAATAGTACTGGGACTAGAGACTGCATTATCAGTCAAATAGGGCATCCAAAAAGACAATTGAAAATTAGAGGTCTAATAGTGGTGTCGACACAAGAGTCTTTTTTACATTAGATTGATCTTTATGTCACATTAGATAGATGTTGTATTCATGTTAAAGATGTGGTCACATTAGAGAGGTGTCTTTATAGGTTTTACTGTAGTCATATGAGTAATCCTTATCTCATGAATGAAGTCTGCACTTTTACTTTTAGAGTTTTGGACATTGGGTCCCTGTATTATTGCAAAATGTGATTGTCAAGGCCAGGTGTCAAGGTCTCAGAGAAGTCTCATCTCCTTGAAACATGCTTGTTAATTCTTCCCCTCAAAATATATGAAGTATTTTGCGGGGAAGTCTATTGAACTATCGTTATAAATAAGCATATACTTTCCAGTTTTTTTGAAATTTTATGTTTTTTGCCATCAACTAGTTTAACGTCATCAGTTAACTGACTCTAAACCCAAAAGTACCCATCAATTAATCAACCAATTACTTCAAATCAACAGCTCTATTATATTTTAGATTGCTATGAAACAAATGTTTTATCTTAGAGGAGGATATAAATACGTCTTTTTTCCCAGCCTAGTACAGCGTCCCAGTTACTAACTCCCATATATCATCTGACGCATTGTAATAAATGGCAAATAACCATGGTAATTATTCAGTCATACTCATGAAATGCCTGTATAAACTCTTTTGCTTCTGAGTGTTTTCTAATTAGATCCAATAGTACAATACATACCTAGGTATCCTAAGCACACAGCAAATTGTCCATGAGGAGATAAGGGGTTAAAAATTAATGAAAACCCAATATAATTTCCTGGTATTATTTGAGCGAGAATGTGTAAAGCATGTTTATGCATTGTGTTACCTGTATCAGAATATTGATTTTGAAAGGACTAGGAGAAATTTGTGATCATCCGCAACTGTGACAAATTCTCTGTTCTGTCCGCTTGAATGATTTCCTTAACTTATTTTATCGGTTTTGTTTGCCTTGTCATGTAGTTCACGTTCTATCTATTAAACATGGGCTCAATTGAGAATTTCAACATAAGCATACTCCCAATTTGAAAATCTATTTGACATCACTTTATATGATGTATCATATTTTGATCAATTTCAGACATTGCTATGTCAAAGTAGGTAAAAAAGAAAAAACAGGTGAAAGTTCTGCCTTCAAGTCTCTTTGAAATGGTATAATTTAGATAAATTGCATCAAGTCAGTATGACTCCTTCTTGTAGCCGAGGTCAAGATAACTTTGGATACTAAATAAATCACAAAATAAATGAGAAGATAAGACTGGTAAATGTTGGGATAATGTTTGGGATGAATATGGCAAGAATCCAGATCTTACTCAGGCTCGTAGCCAGGGGGTTCAGGGGGCCAAAAATTCTTTCAAAATCATGCAGTTTTTCACCATTCTGAACACTTTTCACGTGATTTTTTGAATTTTTTAAAAAGTGAACCCCCATTGGCAAATCATGAATACAGGCCTGTTAGTTATCAGGAGTACCACTCTAAAACTGGCTCTGTAAACATTGGTACATGCACATGTATGTGTGTCATTTGATATTTAAACAATATGGCAAGCTACATATAAAATGATACCATAAGATGACACTTAAAGTGCCCGATAAAGTATAAAATGCGCATGCGTCCAGGTGTTGATAAACTATAAATAGCGAAAATCCAGGGTTTGTCACCACAAGGTAAGCCAGGACGTGTTGAGAGAACAGCTAGTGTTGATATTGAATTTATATATAGCCAGATAAGTTTCCTTATTGAAATTACATATGGTTATTAGCAATACTTTGTAGGTGCTAAATAATAAAATATTTAGAGTATATATGAGAGAAATTGGTCATTTCGAACCTGTTGAAAAGTTTGTGGCTCTCGGCTACACCGGGGAATTTACTTCCATGAGTACACACATAAATGTGGGGTTCCCCAAGAGGTACGCGACAAGGTGACCTGGCATCAAATGTGCGACTAAATGCTACTATCGAGAAGATAAAATAACGAATACGACAATAAGTTATTGCATGTGACAATGCCGAGCCTTCATCTCACTGAAGTACATGTATTTTGAAGTGAAAATAGGATTTTTGTTTTGATACATGGATTCAGATGAACGTAATTTTATTCTGACAACTAATCAAAACTGAACAAAATTGATTGTACGTAACAGGCAATTTATTGTTTTATAATGTTTTGATTGGCTAAACGAATGAAACCAACAAATTATGACATGTAAAATGACAATTTTGAAATGTAAAATTTAAAAGTGACAAACACAACCTCCCTATCCACTCTTTGGGAGCCCTAGTAAATTAGTAATATGTACATGCAGCAGTGGTAGTGTGCAGCTTATTCTCACACTACGCTTTGTATTCTAAAGCCTGTTGTTTGTAATAACACTGTTCACTCAACGTATGTTTTGTGTGTGGGCAGTCAACGATAATCATTGTTTTATCCCGGTTATATGACCTCGGCAATTATAACAAAACCGTACTAAACGAAAAAAACGCAAATAAGAGAAAGCTTTCACACACATATAAAAAATGAACTAGTCTAATCCGCCAGTATAAACTCTGTGCTATACGTAGCCGGGTCAGGCGCACACTTTAATGCAAGTGTATAGTACTGTATTATCACAATTTCAAATAATAAATGTCACTTCAAAAAATGTTTTTTCAGTAAAACATTCCCACTCATAAATCTCATAAACATGTATGGCCTTACAAGAAATGATTTTTATGTGAAATATCCCCGTTGAAGAAAAAGGTTCAGAGGTTAATTTGTTTCACCATTTGAATACCTAGAATGGTTTCTAGACAACTCATCCCAAGACAAGTCATCCCAAGACAACTCATCCCTAAGACAACTCATCCCAAGACAAGTCATCCCCAAGACAAGTCATCCCAAGACATCTCATCCCAAGACAACTCATCCCAAGACATCTCATCCCAAGACATCTCATCCCAAGACAACTCATCCCACTTGTATAATTGATAAATTATTTTGTCCTCTATATTATATATATCCCTTTTTCATTTTTATGATTACAAAGTGAATTTTGATTACACACTCAATTTTTAATACTGATTTTTAGCATTTTGAAATGGCATTTGAAAGTTATGTTTTACTTGTAAGTACTGCCGCTATTTTGATGAATTCTGGGTTATTCTAAATATATTTGGGAATATAGGATTGAACATAAAAGTCATAGACATTATTTCCTTTAATCATCATAAATCTGAAAGTTTGAAATTGGCAATCTTATTTAGGATTAAGCCAAAATATTTTAAAACAAAGACTGAATTAAAGTAAATACAGCATGACAAAATATGAAATGTGTCAGTTTAAAATACAGCATGAAAAATGTATTAATAAAAAACAAAGATATTCCATGACCAGTGTGCTAACTGCTAAAATCTCTAAATATTTTTCATTCTTCAAAATGAAAATTAATTGTATAAAATTATGTTTTATTTCAAGTTGGGAAGAGTTGTCTTGGGGATGAGTTGTCTTGGGATGAGATGTCTTGGGATGAGTTGTCTTGGGATGAGTTGTCTTGGGATGAGATGTCTTGGGATGAGATGTCTTGGGATGAGTTGTCTTGGGATGAGATGTCTTGGGATGAGATGTCTTGGGATGAGATGTCTTGGGATGAGTTGTCTTGGGATGAGATGTCTTAGGGATGACTTGTCTTGGGATGAGTTGTCTTAGGGATGAGTTGTCCTGTTACCCCTAGAATATGGTCATTTACTAGAACTATATATTTTAGTAGTCTAGCTACAAGACCTTGCACTCTGTGTGAGGTGATTAGTCAATTGGAGGGGGGGGGGGTCACAGGCTTGTAGCTAGACTAATATTTTACTAATATAGTTTCAAAGCCTTAAGAATATAACTTTCAGGAGGGATGAGAATAATTAATTTTATTCAATAGATTGTGACTGTAGTCTATTGGATTGTGGCAAAATTTCCACAGTTTATAAAAAGCAGCCAGAGAGCCAATGTTGAGTAGGATATAATATATGTACATGTATGTTTCTGTTCTATATCTATAATATTTATTTAATATATTTGTTACATTATATGGATTTTTATCTTTTCAGGGCTTTGTACCTCTGTATCAAAGTTTTGAAAGTTTTTACACACGGAATCTCTATACAAGAATACGTGACTGTTGGAACCGACCAATAGGAAGCGTACCCGGTGCCGAGTTTGATCTCCTGGAAAGAACAACTGAAGATTACGGAGTGAGCTTTAAGTGAGTACATGTTTTTGTATTGATATTAACTTAACATTAATTCATTGCCCCTCCCCTACCCCATAACATTTTTTCTAGTGAACTGTTAGTCCTGAAAATCAATAATAGATATACAGGAAGCATTGGAACTTGACGTCACTATATTTTGTATTTTTAATCACTGATATGTACAATGCCGAAACAATTATTTTTGCAGATACTCTGGGGACAAGATACGTGCCCTTAACTTTGGTTCATATAACTATCTTGGCTTTGCCCAGAATGAGGGACCATGTGCAGATGCTTCACAATCTACCACAGAAAAACTGGGTGTGGGTGTTGCCAGTGCCAGGCAAGAATTTGGTAAGAAAATGTTTTTCATGTACAGGATGTCAAATATATATGTCCTTCATGAAGTACCCAGCAATGGAGTGTATGGATGTGCACCCAGTTGAAAATGTATGTCACCCTGTACAACATTAAAAAAATTTAAAAATGTGGGAAATTGATATTGACATGTATTTATGAGTGAGATTTTTGGGTAATTGAGATATTTTTTGATAGACTCTTTTCTTTTAATTGCCCTATTATACTGTATATGTTTTCTTGTGTTTATCTCTCCTCCAGGCATGGTCACCTTTCAGGGCAATGTATTACACTCTATGTTCTTACACTTATGAATTTTGTACTCTTGGACCATACTTTGTACTTTGTTCTCATGGTATGGTCTTTGATCATTTGTCTATGTGATCTATGTGACCATGTATACTGCTAGCCATCATTATTGACTCTTACTTGTATAATTCTGTTTGACCTTTTCACTTTGTTTATCACAATCAACAAATCTAATATTGATAGAAAGGATTTAGTTATTGGTTTCTAGAAGTTCCATTGATGTTTATACTATTATAACACATGGCTTGAATTATGAAACAAATTTTTAATAACATACTACAGTGATCTCCCCAGCATTAGAACAACCAGGTGGAGCACACCACCCTATTGAAATTCAGTCCCCACTCTGCCAAAAGAATGAAATATTGAGATATTTTATTTTTGAAAAAACTGGGTATCACTGTTCTATATAACCACATTTTGGTTATTATACTATATTCAGATGTATCTTGGAGGCTCTTGTATTGTATTGTATTATTGTATTGGCTTAATTCTGATCGAAGCACTTTCTTGGTTTATTGATTTATTCTCTATGGGATTAGACCCATTGACTGAACACAATTTATTTTATTTATGGTGAATAAATAGGTACGAAACAGTTGATAGTACTGTTAAACCTGTGTAATTTGAATGTATTTGATACCCAAAAATAGTGTCCTACCTGGGAGGTGTTTACTTTAGATGTTTATTTTTAGGTTAATTGTTGGAAGCAATACCTTTTCATAGCATGTTCCCTTACAATATTTTGGTATTTTTTCTGAAAGAATAATTGAGATATCTTATCAAATATAGACATTACTGAAGTTTGAATTGAAAAGGAGATTGAAATTTTTTAATTTTTCCCAGATAACCTTAAAAAATTCTGAAATAGTTAGTCTTTTCAGAAAATAGTAATAAACTGTTAGTGTTAACCATATTTTGTCTTGTTACTTTGGATCTGCTTCTCTGTGAAGTTGTCATTTTCTAGTTTGTGTATTTTCACTCAAAACTAATTCTTATATAATTTTACTCCAAACCATCTCTATGAATATATATATCCAAAACCGACCCAAAAATCAAAAAATGAATTAAAAAATCATTTCATGTTTGTTTATGTATTTACAGGCACCATGGCGATACACCATGAACTGGAAGAGTTAGTTGCTGATTTCTTTGGAGTTGAATCTGCCATAACATTTGGTATGGGCTTTGCAACCAACTCAATGAACATGCCATCTCTTGTTGGAAAGGTAAGATGTTACAGCATCATTTCAATATTGTATTGTATTGTATCATGACTGGTTAAAAGTTAGCATTATACATCTATTTTGCAAAGTGGAATACATTTGCCTCTTCCAATAATATGTAAGTTATTGTAATGATTTAGATGAAAACTTCTGCTTGAGGAGTCTATATTTTTAAATCCAAAGTCATTGAAAAATGTTTTTGTTATATCATTTAAGCCATTATGTGCTGTGAATCATGTGACTTGTATTCAATTAGTCAAAGAAAGAGAAACATGGCAATGGGATATCAATTATCCATTTATCCATAGTTTATGGAGAACAATCAGGCTGATATTTCTACATTTCCACTTCCTACAGGAAAATAACCTTCAGTAATGTACAATACAATCTGCCATAAATTCAATCAGGGTCATTCAGTAATTGTGTAGACAGTATATTAATAATTTAATACTAATTCATATACTAATCCCATTCTTAATTGATGTTGTTTCATATTACAATGAAAAGCATCTCATTTTCCTATTGTAAATGTTCACTATACCTCTTCAACTTGATGATATTCCATTGTAATGTTGATTATAACACAGAGCTAATATTAATGACTGGCGGGGACATATTTTTCATTATCATTACATAGTTTTGTGTCAATAGAAAATTTTGTACCGATCCTCAAGAAAACATAAGAACTATGCGTTATGGCTCATTTTATTTCAATACAAAATTCCTTTGTATTATATCTGTTATTTTGATAAAATACACTACAGAACCCCATGTCTTGATTAGTTTTCTTATTCTATGTTAATACACAAAATATCTATTGATGTAGGTTTTCAAATGCATGTATTATTTTGCTGAACTAAATGTCAGCAATATCATCTGTACATTACATTTGATACACAATTAATTTCATGGTTTCAGGTGAGATTTAGATATGATGAGTCAAATAATCAAAAAATGATTTGCCAAATTTAACAAAAACTATTTGTCTTATTGCAGGGTTGTTTAATCGTCAGTGATGAACTGAACCATGCTTCATTGGTCCTTGGGGCCAGACTTTCCAAATCATCCATCAAAACATACAAACATAACGGTAAGTTTTGAAATATGAAATTGTTCACCTCTCTGGAGGTGGACTGGTTTAATCGAATAGTCCCACTCTAAATCAAAATGTAAATATTGGCTGAGACCATAGCATTAGAGATTAACAGTAAAGACACTACCGTAAATTCACTGATGGGATATTGGTGGACACCTGCTATAAGTCCTACTGCGGTACACTGTCTAAATTGTTAACCTCTAATTGCTCAATTACAATTGAAAAACTAAAATAAAGTTACTATTGAAATGAATATATACAGCTGCTTTGCTTATTCAAAATATGCAAGAAAACATGACAGGTAGCATAATAAAAAAAATATGCATTTTTCTGTTAAACCCAACTCTTTATATTTAAAACTACATGTTCACTCAAGAAGCCTCTACATTTATGATGTTTTAGATATGGTTAGTTTAGAGAAGTGTCTGCAAGATGCTGTGGTATATGGGCAACCTAAGACACACAGGCCCTGGAAGAAGATACTGATAGTAGTGGAGGGAATATACAGGTGATATATAGATGCAGTAAAACATGTCTCGTCCAAATACCACTTGAACCAGTGAAAAGTGTTTTCATTACCAGTCTTCATATTTCAAGATTTCTAAATATGTGAATTAATGGAAGATAACTGAATTGGGACCAAGAAAGTGTGTTCATATTCAGAGATGTTTGGATTAGAGTTGTGTTCTTTACAGGTTTTTCTGGAGTATAAAAAGCTGTGCCATTTAGTATAGCTATGGGTTTGCCCCTTAGCACAATATTTAATTCACTTTCTCAAATAACTACTTTTTTTACCATCAGATAATTTTCTCAGATATGCTTTTATAACCTGGTATTCTTATCAAACTGGCATTTTAAATCAAATCATGAAAATTATCTTTCAGTATGGAAGGGTCCATAGTGCGACTGCCAGATGTGATCAGACTAAAGAAGAAGTACAAAGCCTACCTGTATCTAGATGAGGCCCATAGTATTGGTGCACTTGGACCCCAGGGGAGAGGAGTTGTGGATTACTTTGGTTGTGACCCCCTAGATGTGGATATCCTCATGGGGACATTCACAAAGAGCTTTGGAGCTGCGGGTGGATACATTGCAGGCTCTAAGGTACATGGGGTCTTCATATGATGTTGATCAATTACTTCTTCAATGGCCAACCTTTTGTAATGCCGATATGGTGTCTGATGGCCGAAATGTAGTAGTATTTTAATCACAGATTCAAATAGGCACTGAACAGAGACTTCATTTACAACAGATCAATGTAGATCAAGATATGGTGTCTGATGGCCAAAATGTAGTAATGTTTCAATCACAGATTCAACAGAGACTCTTTTGAAACTTTACAATAGATCAATGTATATCAAGGTAATAAGTAAGAATAAACAGTCCAGTAAAACTTTGCTTATGTTTCAGAAACTAATTGATCACCTGCGCTGCTACTCTCACAGCGCCACCTATGCTACAAGTATGCCCCCACCTGTATGCCAGCAGATCATCTCATCATTGAAGATTATCGCAGGCTTAGATGGTACAGGAGAAGGTATGTAAATTTTGTAGATTTGCATCAACCTCTTGTGTTGTCCCCCTGTTCCTTCTCCAAGCAGAGTAGAGAAATATGGTAAATAGTGGGGTACCAAAGACTCAATGCAAGATTAGTATGTTTTTGAGGTCATTTGATGTCTGATTGAAGTCAGCATAGTCTCAAATCACCCAGGGAACCAGTGTTCTGGTGCAAGACTGCATTTACAATGTTGAATTGTATCAGTTGTTGTATCCTAACTGGAAAGCTTCTCGACCAGATAAATCCCATATCTCCTTCATAACTGTTGAACCCAGTTGAACATCATCTTGTAGGGAGAGATTTGAGATCTTGTTCTCGAAAATATGCAACTTTAGTATGCTGTTATGTTCATGTAGATTTCTAGAATCATTATCTAGGATAATCTAAGCAAAATGGATGGTTATCAAAAAATATTGATGTTGAACGCTCATGTCAGCAGGGCTGCCCCGTTTCCGCAATGGCATTTATTTTATGTTGCGAAGTTATGAACTTAGCAATTCAGCAAAATAATGATATATCAGGTATAACTGTTGATGGTAAAGAATATAAGATGTCCCAATATGCGGACGATACTTCACTTTTCATTAAAGATAAAGAGTCATTGAAAAATGCTCTTAATACTATTTCCAATTTCTCAAAATTTTCTGGTCTGAAGTTAAACATAGAAAAAACTGAAGGCATTTGGCTTGGAAAAAATAAGGACTTTGAAAAGAAATGTGAAAATATAACTTTTACTGATGAACCAATCAAATATTTAGGAATCTTTTTAGGACACAAAATTAATTTATGCAGCATCAGTATTATCTGTGCCACATGAGATTATAAAAAAAAATAAACAATCTTGTATTTAAATTTCTATGGGATGGAAAAAAGGACAAAATAAGAAGATCTATAATCATAAATAATATTAATAAGGGTGGAATAAATATGATTGATTTAGAGTCTCAAATACATGCACTTAAAGCAGCATGGATCCCCCGTTTGCATAATCAAAACATGTACAATAAAATCCCTTACTTCTATTTCAATAAATTTCTTCCAAATATAGATGTATTATTCAAGATAAATGATACTAGATTCAAAGAATTTGAAAATGTTCCACTTTTTTATCAACAAGTGCTGGAAGCACATTGTTTATGTAAATGCATCAAAAATATAAGAGATATGAAGCAACATGAACTCTTGCAAGAGGTTATATGGGGAAACAAATTATTCACCGTCAAAAATAAACCAATTTTCTTTGAATCATGGATCAAAAGTGGAATTATATACATAAAAGACTTGATAATTCAGAACAGGTTCCTTGATGTTAATATGTTATATCAAAAACTTGTAAATAAACAAAATTGGATATCTGAATATTACAGAGTTTTATCAGCCATGGGCACACTGAAAGAAAGATTCAATTTAGAATCTTTCAAGTATACAAATATTCATAATACTTTTAAATTTAATATAAATAATGTGATTATCACTGTGAATAATCAGAAATCCAAATTCTTTCATGAAATATTAAAAAACAAAGGATCGGAAAAATGGTTTATGAAAAGGAAATGGGAACAAGAGTTTTGCTATAAAGCCAATGATGAAATAAATTGGCAAAACTTTTTCTCTACAAAAATAAGTTGTAAAGAAAAGAAAATAGGTAATTTCAACTTTAAAATAATCAACAATATTCTTCCTAGCCTTAGTGATTTATATATATTTGGTAAAAGTGAAACCTACAAATGTAGTTTATGTAATGAATTATGTACCTTGAAACATTTGTTATTTTCATGCTCATATTCTCAAAACATTTGGAAACATATTTATAATATCTCAGTGTTAAGAGTAACTTACAGAAAATTGATAATTGGTTACGATGGAAATGACAATCATACTGAATTTTTAAACTATTTTATAAGTATTGTGTCATTTGTTATATATAAAACATATATTCAAGAACTGAATAATGGTATTAAGCGTAATTTTGAAGGCACTATTAAAACTTTAAATTTTGAAATCTGTACTCGTAAAAATGTATTTTTTAAAAACAAATGGAAAATGATTAAAACATAACTCATTATACATTATTGTAATTATTGTACCATTGTATTTCTGTATCGTAAAAACCTAAATTGGAATAAACTATATTTGAAAAAGAAAAAAAAAATCTAGGATAATCTATAATGTGTTATATTTGTAGGTCGTAAAAGAATCCGTCAACTAGCTTGGAATACCAGGTATTTCAGGAGGCGCCTTCATGAAATGGGTTTCATTATTTATGGAAATAAGGACTCTCCAGTGGTCCCTGTGATGATCTTCATGCCTGCCAAAATTGCGTAAGTCTTAAGATATAATACTAATGGTGATGTTTTGTGATGTGTATAAGGGGTCTAAAAATTAGACACAAGAATAAAGGGACCACATGACAGACCCTCCATTAATATATGCAAATACCCCAACTGCTAAACAAGTACTAACTCTAAAGTGTTGTACTTTATTTATTTTTAGCTGTTTTGGAAGAGAATGCTTGAAGCGTGGCCTGGGTACTGTAGTGGTTGGTTTCCCAGCGACACCTATAATAGAATCTAGGGCGAGATTCTGTCTCTCTGCAGCACACAGCAAAGACATGCTAGACAAGGTAAGTTCACATTAGGTAATGAAATCAGATGTTTGGCATATTCAATCATAGTTTAGAAAAAAAAATTTAACAAAAATACGAGATGTGCTTAGATTTATAGGATACAAGATGATCTCATTATCTCATTCATCTGCATTTCTGAGATTTGGGATTTTGTTAAGTACATGCGTATATATTATTGTTGCTTCCATGATACGTGAAAGATTGTTTATGATTAAGAAGTCTGTGGAGATGATCAAATTCCAAGAGTAAACCTCAAAATAAAGTGATAGTTTGGCGAAACAGATTCTATTAATCAGTCGCTCTCACTATCTGCATTATTTGGTCATTTTTGTGATTTGAGTCCCAATATGTTGAAACTTTTCTGTATACGATTTCCATTAATATTGTGTACTATGTTGTTAAACTTTCTGTTCAATATAAATGTATTTGCTTGCAGGCCCTAAGTATCATAGATGAAGTGGGAACATTACTACACATGAAGTATTCCAGAAGACCCCCACCCAATATCAGTGAAAATGACCTGTACCTAGACTTCAATCAACACAGGGATGATAGTGAAGAGAATGGAGTAGTTGCCTAGCAATAGGATCTCCTAGAAGACTGCATCTTCTGTGATGATTTCTACCAATTTTATATGATGCACAAATGTAACAGAGTCAATTGAACAAGTGTTAAAATGAACATAGCCAATCTTGAGTTGCCAGCTTTTTTCAAGACCATGATCAATGTACTGTACTGCTCCAAGGGTAGAGAATTTGATGGCCCAATTTTTTATTTTCTAAAATCTTTCCCATTTGGTCTCATGCAAACCCATTGAATGGTGCATTACAGGAACTCAAATTAAATCTACTATGTAAGATATCAAAACATTTAATTTTGAGTATATCATTGATAAATTACTAAATGGTTTAAACATTTTTGAAATTTCTTTAACCAAACTAATTTAAAATAGCTTGAAATAGTGTATTCATGATAAGATGTGTGCTGTTCAGTTAGAGAGAGTGTATGTGAGGACATTTCCATTATATGTATGATGTTGGATTTTCTGTGTTTGAATATAAGTATGCGATATACAGTAGTATATGGGAAACACCGGTGTTTGTGAGTATGAATGTGTAATTGAGTAATGTAATGTTGTAGATGTGTAATACTTCCAATGCATATCTGATATTGCATTTTACCTATGTAACCAATATAATCATTGTATAAGGGAATGTATCTATGTACAATGTATCTATGTATAATTTATGAGAAAAAAAACTGCATTTCACAAATTCAATGAATTTTTTCATATGCCACAAAATAAATCTAAAATGTCACTGATCAGCCCAAAACTTTTTGTTTCTACATTACTCTTCATAAATCTGTATATTGATATGTTCCCTTTAAGAGGCTTATAATGATTAAAGTCTGTAAACTGGTTGTGTGCTTTAAGTCGATCTATATTCTGCGCTATATGTTACAAAATCACGTGCAATCTGTCTAATGAAGATAGCTACGCAATCACTTGACATAAAAATTGTAAATGGGGTTGATTCGAGTGTTGTATATGAAATGGTTGGGATTTTATCAAACACTGGGGTTCTTGCTCAGGATCTGATATCAGATATCAAAATGGCACTTCGGACCAATTACATTTGTTTGTATACATATCTAATGGATAAAAGTAAACTTGAAATGAGCTGGGGACCACTCCCTATTCCTATCAACCCTTGTACAATTTTGAATGCCCTGACTTGTTGCATTCTTCAATTGTATCACAATTCACCTGGAAGGAGTTTTAAAAAATGTAAAACAATATTGGATTGGATATTTTTGAAAAACAGCCTCCAATGTATAAAATTGCCATTTGTGTATTTTTCAAACCATGATAATTTATATTCTAGATTTGTACCATGTATGTATCTTAGATCATAGCGTATTTATAAGCATAGTCATACCTGTACACCAAATGTATTTCAGAATAATCCGTCACGTTTAGCGAACTAATAAGACCAATTTTTAACTGCTGATTTAGTATGAATGAGATATTTATTTTACATGTAAGCATATCACCTCAATTTTTTAGAGTCATAATTATCCAAAATTGAAACTCACTAAATGCAAAATTACACTAGTGATTTACAGAACAGCGCCAGTCAAACTTGCTTTTTCAGTACTGCACATTGCATGAGTTCAGTCTAAATGATACTGACTGCAAGATTAATTTTGATTAGCAACTGGCTATAAACAGAACCATGTAAGGCAGTATTTTGAATTTTTGCTCGCAGTCTTGAGCATAACATCAAAACATGTGAGCTATTTAGCTATATCATGGTTAGTGATCTTAATTGGCCACATTTTCAAGGTGTCCATATGACTGACCTTGAAGGCATCTTATTCTGCTTTATTATGACTCATATCAAGTCTAGGTAAGTGCATTTAAAGGTGGCAGATCAACAATGTTCATCCCTGTTGGGTATATCTCTCATGACATATTTTGTACATCCAGTACAATATCTTTATTGAGGAGAGTGAAACAAGCACAAATAGTTGAATTCTTAACAGCAGAATTTATAATCAATATAATGTTCCTGTTAAGTCTTTTACTGGTATTTATTTTATATTCCAGAGTAGAGTTTAATTATTTGTGTTAATGCTTGTCACATATTGAAATTAGTATTATATTTGGGAGAAGGGGAGGATCAGTACACATTATTTGAACTTGGCCTGTTAGAATGACTGCTTATCAAGTGGGGAAAATTGGATGTACATTATATCAGTTATATTTATAACATCAAAGCAAGATTTACTCTGTAAATGACTGTTAAAGTTGTGATAAACATATTTATGAAATATTGTTATACTTGTATATTTGTGTGCATATTGTATATGTATGTATGGTCATTGTTTTGAAATATTTATCTTGCATCACAAAAATGCAATGCTATATTTGTAGAGTAAAGTTACTGGGTGACCTGAATGTGTTATCAACAGAATTGTTTATGATACTTTCTGAAGACCTTGTTTTGTAGATTTTGTCCATAGATTGTATATGGAAAATTTTGTTTAATTATAAAGAACAATTATATTAGTGAAATAGAATAAATGTTATGTAGGTAGTCTTAAGTTGTTTACAAATTTAAAATTCTTTAAATAGTTGATTCATATGATGATTCAATAACAGATACTTTTTGACTGATAAGATTGTAAATAACTTATTGTATAATTGTAAATATTGTGATATAAATAAGATCATATATATACAGAGTTTGATTACAATTTGATACAAAGCTAAAATATCATTTTTGTACATTTAATATTATCTAGGAGTATTTTATGATTGTATATAAAATAAACAAGATAAGAATGGACCAATTTGGTTAATTGATACATAGAATTTTTGATACGAGGTAGAAATGACAAGTATTTGAAATAAAAAGTTGGTTGTAAAATCTAGGCTAACTGATGTAAAATTATTTGTGTTATACGCTCTTTGCATCTGTTATAAAAATACATAAATAAATACTTTCCTGAATATGTCATAAAAGTAACTTTGAGGTCACTAGTCACATACAGATATAGTATTTGTACATATGATACATATTCTGATGTTATAATGATATGTTGTAATGCATTTTTAATGAAATGCACATTTCTGATTCTGCTTATTTGAGATTATAGCAATTGTATGAATAAATCAAGACTTATGCAAACATTATTTTTCTGAAAACCCACCATTTATTAATTATATACAGGATGGGCCAATAGATACTCTTAAATTGAATTTTTGTTTTGTTGACCAATCTTATGTTGTATATAGCATGTATATTTTCTATGATTAGCAGTTTTTGTAAATTTTTATTGCAAATTAGAGCTTATATTTTGATTTCTATAAAGAAGTGTGATTTACAGTGTATAATTGCTTGCCAGTGTGTAAATACATTGATCTGACAATATGATGTCAGTATATTAAATATTGTGTCTTGTTTGAATTACTCAGATGCGAGTAGGTAGTTACCAGTTTCGCCACCAGGTAGCTGATTCGGTGGAAATAACATGGCAGGGTATTACAAAATTCCCTTAAACTTGAATATTCATCAGTTTTAGTGGTTCACTTTTCATATTACCCTTATGTATCTGATAGTTATACAAATTAAAATATGTCCAGTAAAAGAAAATATTATCTGCCCAACACAAGAAAAGATATTTCCATTTTTGTGATTTTACAACATGGGGGCTATGGGGAATCTCCCCAACCTAGAAGTCACATTTTCAAAGAAAATTAAATTTTTCAAGTTGATAAACTCTTTTCAAAACCATATTTCTAGATGTAATTTTACATGTAGATTCCAAATATGACATCAGTTTGACTTTTGAATTTTTAATGATGTAAATCAAGATTATTTCTACTCCCATCTGGGATATTGAACACTGATACAGATGTTGAATCACTTTTGCTTCATAGGCCCAAGAACATGTATACAATCGAATCTAAGTCCTCTAAGAAAATATATTCTACTTAGGACTTGCAGATTCTGATTCGAATTTCAATTTGCATTAATTATTCATGTTCCCGAGCCTTTGTATTGGTTTGTTCACTTTCTGTTTCGAATTAAACTACTGTACATTCAAAGTAAAGGGGGTCATTGCCTATTTCGGAAATACACCAAAATCAGAACTTTGATACACACCTTCTTTTCTGAGAACTTGAATTAACTTGTTCACAAAGATAGTGAATAAATTGCCATTTAGAAATTAAAAGAGATGATATGCTGCTTATTGTGTCATGCCTTGATAATTGCAGGCTGTTATGACAGGTTGATGCTTTTCTATTGAGTCGGATATCTCAAATCATTTTCAGATATTTTTGGAATTATAAGGGACTCGTCCATTCTCTTAGTACTTCTCATAATACATAACACAGTCCATTTCTCAGACATTTCAGCAAGATAACAGATCCAACAAGAATTTGATTAGCTCTAAATAAAATTTAATTGACCACAAGTTGGCTCTTGTATTAAGGGAAAGGTGGTAGGTTTCTTTGTTAACATTGGGGTCAGCAATGTGCAACATATACGTATATGTAACGTTAATTCTTTCCACAAATACTCAAGAAACATAAGAAAAGTAGTATAGGTTGTATTTATTTTGTATTTTTAACAATATTTCATTTTACAGGCTACATAAATGATTTAATACAGTACATTCTTAAATTAATCTTATAAATTCAAGATATTGTCTCATCATGTGAAAGAAATTAGGATCATGGTCCTGATTTGATGACATTTTATAACTACATTAAATTTTAAATATACTCTCATCTCATCCCTAACAATATTTTTGTCCTGGTGTTACAATATTTCAACTTTAGTATCACATCATCTCACCAATGTAGTCAAACTGTTTCAACCCAAACATTTTAATATCTTTTTCTTGGTATCATCTCACACCTGGTGTGACAATATATTATCATTGGTGTTACAATGTTTCACCATGGGTGTGGCACAATTTCAACTTTGATTTTACAATTCATATACTGTGATCAGGTGATAAAGTGTGACAATATATTTATCACAATGTTTTACTGCGGATGTAACA